TTGAGACAGATCTACATATCAGTAAAATTGATATTTCTCATCACTTTAAGGAGCAAGACTTTGAAATCTGTGCAGTACAGCTAGTAACTAAAACATCTCACCTAATTATATTAAGCCTGTATGTAGCCCCTTCAGGAAAGGTTAATGAATTTCTAAGGAGACTAGATGCAACTTTAAAATATCTGTACTGTCCAAAGTCTGAGTTTATAATCTGTGGAGACATCAACATAAACTATTTAAATGAAAGTAGTCATAGAAAAACAAGTAAACTCTTTAATAAGGACATACAGTCTGTCACACACAGTGACTTTCGCAGCAAGAGTTCAAAATTCCTCAAGCACAGCCATTGATAATATCTTTATAGATAATGCAAGGTTAAGCTCTTCTTATAACTCTACTATAGTCAATGGCCTCACTGACCATGATGCTCAATTTCTTACAGTAAATAATATTATTGCGGAAGTAAATTCAACACCCTTGAAAAAGAGAACCAGAAAAATAAATAGTGAAACCAGTGTTATTAGAAAATGAAACGTGGGAACCTGTTTTCAAAAATAAGGATACAATTTATAAGTTTAACTCCTTTTTATATATTTTTCTAAATATCTTTGAAGCCAGTTTTCCTATGCAGAATAAAAGTGTAAGAAGAAAAAAACCACTGGATTACACAAGGAATAAAAAATCTTGTAAACATAAAATGCATATGTATGTAGACAGCAGGAGCAGTAATAATCCCTACACGAGAGCATAATGTAAGGTACTGCGAAATCCTGAGTAGAGTTATAAAAGAGGCTGAAAGGCAGCATTACTGTAGGCTTATAGCAACATTGAATAATCAGATAAAAACAACCTGGAATGTAATAAAACATGAAACAGGAAACTCACATCTGACTGAGCAGATACCATCTCTCCTTATAAATGATGAAAAAGTTGAGGACCCAGGAGAAATTGCAGATGCCTTCAGGACTTTTTTTCTAACAATTACAGAACATCTAAACTTGCATCAGGAAGTGGGAGATAAAGTCATTTCAATTCTAAGAGAGGCATTTTCTAGAAAATTCCCTTGTATTAAAACCATTCCAACCACTGAAACTGAAATAAAAAGTGCAATACATTCCCTCAAAACAAAAAACTCTTCAGGTTATGATGGAATAACAAA